AGCAAAGGGTCTTAATACTTAGGACCATGTGATATTTCTGTTTTTCTTTTTTAATAAATCTGCAAAAATGTCAACAATTCTGTGTTTTTCTGTCAATATGGGGTGCTGTGTGTACATTAATGAGGAAAAAAAATTAACTTAAATGATTTTAGCAAATGGCTGCAATATAACAAAGAGTGAAAAATTTAAGGGGGTCTGAATACTTTCCGTACCCACTGTATATATAAATCAGTTTTCAAGCATTTTACTACACTTCAGTATGTGGTTCTTATTAAGTAGGGGTAATTTTTTAGGATTCTATACTTCTCCTAAGTCTCTGAGAACCTGACACCTTGTACTTCTGGAGACTCCAGGTAGGTTGCAGTTCTGGAAAATGGTGGCGCTGGAGACTAAATGCTTCTTGGTGTGATTTCACACCTAATTCTTCACCTTAATTCCTAATTCTTTTGCAGTTAACATGCATCTTTTTTTCTCCACATGTTTTTGACTGACCCTGCTGACCCACTGAGCATTTTGCTGTCCAATGGTTATGCATTCACTTTGCAATTTCTAGTATTGTATTAGTTTTTAATATTTCTCATGGGCATTTAATAATTTTTGCTTTCAGTCTGAGTTAAATCTCTTTTTTGGCTCATTTTATCTGTAAAAGAAAATCTGCTTAATTATGCACACCTGAATATAAGACATTTTTCACTTCAGCCTTCAGCCTTCATGAATAATTATATATCAATTATAAATTATTAAATACAAGATTAATAGTAGTTATTAAGATTGATGTCGTTTGGAATTGTAAAATGTGCTTGGAAAAAAATATGATCAGAATATCAACTTGCATAATAATTATGCATGCACTGTATTTTTCCTCTTCTGCTGTCGAGGTAATGCAAGGAATGTTGTGATTGGTTGTCAAGGCAGCCAATCAGAATTTAGCAGCCTCCTCTTTGATTGGCTGGAATGATGGCATATTGTAACGCTAGGTTGTGTTGAGCAAGCAAGCTGTTTTTGGCATTTAGAGAGCACTGAGGGTGGGCATCAGGTGAGCAAGCTGGTGAACTGTTGCATGCAGCAAAAGAGAAAGTCTGCACAAATCCAAAAACTTATTTTAAATGCAAAATTGATTTCCGCGCGTTCGAAATACTTTCTTCTTTGCTAGACAAACATTTTCTCCACAAAACTCAGTTCGCGCGCGTGCAAAACGACCTTTTGCACGTTCAAAATATGATCTTTCGCGCGCAGAATTGTGGCAGAAATGTAATCCCATACCATCAGCTCCCGCGTCTCACACACACGAGCGCGACTTTAGCGCTAGATTTTTAAATAAATCTAGATTTAAATTCAAAGACACACCCTTTTAGCGGCTTTTTTCCATAGAATATTCATACTGACAAACCTAGTAACTTTTTTGGATAAACCTTAGCTATGGTTCAGTTGGAAGATTTCGCCAGTGCTGTCCCGCGAACGCGAGGTCTGACTTTCCCGGAGAAGTGTCAGCTCTCTCGGCGTCTGTTCTGTGCAGTGAGCGGCAGAGAAGCAGCGCATTCAGTTGGCCGCACCGCAGCCGACTCCTCAGTAAATTAGTACAAAACAGCGTTTCCAAGCACCTGTCGCTTACTGATTGTTTGGAATTATAAATATATAATTAACAGTTCGTCTGTTAATATCACATGCACTTTTTTGTTTGTTGTTTTTTAGTTTGTTATTCAGACGCAGGCAGTGCGCTGCATGAGACAAAAAATTAATATAGCCAAAACTAGGGATGCAGCGAGATTAACCGCGCTTTAAAATGTCATGGTTAATTAATCGTAAAGGTTCCCCTAATCCGCTAAACATTGAACGATTTTAATGCACGACGTGAAGGCAAGAACCACCTGACGTGAAGCTACAGCTCGTTAGCGCAGCATTCTGCCCGCTTCAGATCAGAAAGTGATGAAATAGTGCGGTAAGATCACATTTATTTGAATTAATTAATTATAACATTTAGCTACTTGAATTAATTATGAGAGAGAGAGAGAGAGAGAGAGAGAGGACAGTTGCCTGTGTGAATTAGCCTACCTGCATCTGTGCATCTCTCCAGTAGGCTTCATGCATGAAAAAAAAATACCATCATGTACCGTGAAACCGGTATAATTTTGAAAAATACCGTGATATAAATTTTTGGTCATACCGCCCAGCACTACTTTGAACTATTATTATTACTACAGTATTTATTTAAAAAACATAGAGGTCTTTAAAAATAATTGTCAGAACACTGGTAAAAAAAAAAGAAAGGCTTATACTGATTTTCTCATCCTCCGAATTATACTTATCAATCCTGTTTTTATTATCTTTATCATTCAAAAAATGAATAAATTCAGTAATCATTCAAAGCGGCAATTAATCGTTCAAAGTCCACTTATGTTATTCTGCACGCTTAAGATATGTTTTTTTCTTTCTACATGTTATCTTAAGGGTTTTTCCATT